CAAACCTTTGGGATCGAATAATCGGTCGAAATATGTGTACTGTATATATGTTTATAATAAGCTAGTTACTAGGTAGTATGAAATGTGGACAAATCAAAATACCAATACAACTAATGGCGTTTGAGGCCTTCAGGCTACATGCACTAGTATACAGTACTACCACGTACTAGTAGTAGTATGTTATAGAAGCCATCACAACCAGTAGCTGCGTTCGCTTCTTACTTGTGCCCCCAGCGAATGCACTTCACGGCCGCCATTTACACAATACTGTCGTCATAAAATGGGATTGCATTAATCTGAGATTACAAAATTCGTCATTACTTTTAAAATAAGCTGTCCTATCGTTATTAAAAGTCTCTAATTGCTACCTGTAGTCCACGTTGTATTACTACAGTAATATTATAATATTCACGATTAAAATAAATCCCAACGCGAATCATCACGTGCAACTTGCACAGGAATGCGATAAAACTGTTGAGACGGTCACGACTACTACCGCTCATGTCCCATGGGCTGTCGGTGCCAGACCTGCGTCTGACACCCGAGCCAGAGATGCTGAAGCCATCCATCATCATCGTTGCAGCGCCACCTCTAGGATGTCCCTCCAGATCAAAGTGTCGATGCACATGCCTCAATTGGGGGAGCTTCGACGGGTGTCGTTGACGTTACCCATGGTGAAAGCCAACCCCAAAGTCCGTCGGGTCCCCATCGATCGGAGCCACGCGGCGGCGTTCCAGAAGTTGCTATCGTCCTTCGACGAAGGAGACAATGTCCGCAGGTGTATCGTAACCACACCGCTCAACTCGATGCTGCAGTCCATCGTCTCGGCCGTCGTGACGGACATCGACAACACCAAGATCGCGCGGAGGGGTCGGGGCACGCCGTCACTCTGATCGTGCACGGGGTGCACGAGGTGGCCATGGAGGTGCTAAGCCCCGCGGTGAGTGCGCTCCTGAACAACCTGAGCCACCGGATCTTGAAATTGGACACGTTTGTGCGGGGGTACTTCATATTGGAGACCCTCGAGCTGGACCAAGTGGTGGCGTAGCTGGAAGACAGTCTCGACCAAGCGCACGTTCGCATCCAGGCGTTGACGGACGAGATCAAGGTCATTGTGCACATACAAAAGCGCAAAATCGCCGAAGCCAAGCTCATGGCCATCATCCACGATGCCACGTACGATTGAAACTAGGCAAACGCCCGTTCAAGCATGATTATTTAGAGTGACCAACGCAGGGGAACACCTGACACGCACCCAGCCCCCGTCATCGACGTTGATGTTAAAATCCCAGTTGTTCTCTGCATCATCTCAATCTCCACTCCAACTAATACGACATCCCCACCGATACTGGGGCTACTGGTGTGTATACCTTTGCATCCGCATACGTGTACGATGTGAGTGTACGGCTGACAAGGGAAGTCTCAGAGCTGTCAACTGCGTTGTCCGAGGCCCAGGCTCAACTGGACAGTGTACTACTAGTTGCGTATATGAAACATCACTGGTTTACATGCGAATGCAGGCGCGGCGAGACGTGCAAGTGCTCAAGGCGGACGTCGACATGTTTGGAGACGCGATGTTCCAAGATCACCAGCGCCGCCTCACGGACGAGTTGGCGTGTGAACACCACCGCGTCAAGGCACACGTTTTAGACTTGTGTAATGTATTGAATCCTCCACGCTCTAGTTCGGGCGATGCTGTCATCATATTAGATATCAAAGGAATATGTGTTTAGAAAGGGTATTAACGGCTACAGTAACGATTTCTGTATGATCAACACAAAATTGACAGGTCCAACCTCTAATTTATAAGGGGCACTAATTCTTGAAGAAATACATTTTGTCCAATAAGAGTTATTCAGGCATTTCTATTGGCTTAGAACAGTGCCGATGACAGTGCCGATGACTGGTGTCTTTGCTGATGACTGGTGCCCTCGGACATCTCAAAAAGTGCAAATTATTGGGATATCTGAAGCAAATGGGGACAGAATCACCCGGATAATCCCCAAAATATCCGTACTGCAACCTAAAGTAACGGTACAATCGAAGTTCTGGGTTACAGTATGGGGAAAATATTTGAGGATGCGGTGGAGATGCTCTTAAGTTCATTGATTTGATAAAATAATGAAGATTGTGGAGCCTGCATTACGATAACACATTTTATACGACCCTACACAACCTCAATAGGGCTACTGTAGGCAACCTCAAAAGGGCTAGGCAGGTTGCACGGCAACTACGTACTCCTCTGTCCACAGGAGGCTTTACACGACGTAAGATCGGCTATTGCGGACACCATCATATTGCATACTACACCTTTTTTCGGTTAATTTCAGGAAATAAACAACCAATTCGCGGCGGTTTCACTTCGTTGGTTGTATATTCGTTATATTTCGCCTGCAACCAAGAAGGTTGCAGTATATTTCAAGCGACGTTCGTTATGTGTCACACTGTGTATGCGCTCAATTCAGCGAGTGGCTCAATATATTTCGGGGTGCATTCGATATATTTCAATAAAAAATGTAAATCAATCTGACTTTCGACGTAAAATGCAATTGTTGGTCAATCAGGCTCCAACTTCCATGTCTTCCATGTTCTCCGCCGTAGAAGTATTCGAGCCGCAACGATCAACGATGCAGGCGATTCACGTCGACATCTGTAAATGTATAAGTTACGTTTTCATCGACGATCCATACCTGCGATGACTTCGTCGGCGATGTGCTCAAGGTAAGCCATACGAAACTCGTCACGAGTTTGTCCGTCAGGACGAGGTCCCATAAACGCAGCAAGGCGCTCGCGCAGCAACGTCTTGCTGTGGCTCTTCATTGTGGACCAAAGATTCTCGATGGGGTCGGCGGCGTGGCTAGGACACATCAACTAGGTACATAGGGTATGTATTGGAACGTACTGGTGTGGCAAGCGCTTATCGACAGTTGTTTTGAAGAATGAGCGAAAGGCCGCGAGATCTTCGGTTGAAGTGATTCCTTTCTATTTTCGCTCGAAATATATCGATTGCACCCCCGAAATATATTGAGCCACTCGCTGAATTGAGCGCAGACACAGTGAAATATAAGGAACATCACTTGAAATATACTGCAACTTTCTTGGTTGCAGGCGAAATATAACGAATATACAACGAACGAAGTGGAACCGCCGCGAATTGGTTGTTTATTTCGCGAAAAAGTATGGTGAGGTCCTGAAATTAACCGAAAAAAGGTGTAGTTAGTACTACAATAAGCTATGCACGGAAGGTTTGGTTCACCCTAGCAGAGGCCTCTCCAGTTCGCAGAAAGACTCCTGCTCATCGCTCAAACATACAGTAAAACTTTGATCCGTCCCTTTCACTTTGTCGTTCTTTTGAACGAGTTTTTTTAGCGTCCGGACTAAAAACAGTGCCACCAACAGACACGCGAGACCCATGACGACATACCCAAGCGTCTTCTTGGTGTGAATGTCATCCACGGCGGCCTTGGCTTGGGCGAAGCAGAGGCAGTAGATGGCGATATTGACCAACTCCACCAGCACAGCCACACTCAAGTGCAAGTTGGTCACGAACGGCCTCACGACCACCAGCACCAGCATGTACAGGCCGTGGACACTGACGAGCCACAACATCTGGGTGGAAGGGGTCCCCACTCCAGACATCATCGCCCCCGACACAAGCTGCACCATCAGCGTGACCCCACAGAACGCCCGGTGCGGGTACTGGAGGTTCACGTAAAGCACCCCAAACGTGGCTTTGGTGTGGAACTTGGACAGACTGGATTCGGTCTGCCGCCACAGGACCAAAGATGCGCCGACGCAGGCGTCTCCGATGATCACGAGCACCGCCACGGCCAAGGCTCTGCTGGCGGATCCACCGGCCGCAGGCGACTGAGATGCGGAGGCTTCAAAGACCGACACCGCCGTGAGGGGAAGCACCGCTTGGGTGAGTACCCACACCAACACCCCTTGTACCTTGAGGCTCCACTTTTCAAATCTGTCGGCGTTCGGGTGGTCCTCAACTTGGTTCAGAAGGGGCCCGTAGTGGCGACTGAAGTACGTCGCTAGGCCGTTGAATAGGCACAGGAGCAGCAGCATCGCCGACATGACGACGAAGAAGCACGTCCACGCGCGCACAAACAAGTCTCTTTCTGGAATGTTGAGGCGGAGGGCAAACTGCTGGATGCCAAACGCGGCCTCGTGCGAGGATGTTTGCAATGCTCTGGATGATGGGGCAGACAGACGACTGCCTTTGACGAGAAACAAGAGCCACGAAAACGAATCTGTAAACAGGGCAAACGGCGCGTACGGCGAGTCGATACTCGCCATGGCGACGATGGCCACGTTTTGCAAAAACGTGAAAAACACAGGCAGTTCCCACAGATTTGGGGGGCCAGCAAAGTCCCCAACGGAAACAGGGTCAAGAGCTGTGACCTGGAACGCCACCATGACAATCAACGTGCCTGCGATGACTGCGTTAAACACGACGCGGCTGGCTTGGTTGACTGGATCGTCCGACCCGAGCAAATCGACGACGGACGACGACTGCGTGCTGGCCTGATTTGTGGCGTCATTACGATTGGAGTTGGGGCTTCGAGGCGCGAAGAGTCGAAGGGACGGAATGTATGCATCGAAAGTCGGATCGTTGTCAGAATTTGAAGTGTCGGAGGGAGTAGAATCACGTGAAGAACGCGCAGGGGGTGACTCCTTGTCGCTTGGAGTGGAATGGGCATCGAGGACAGTTGGAAGTGACTCTGAAGATGGAGGAGAAGCTAGCTTGGCGGGGGATGAGGCTGACGGTGGGCTCGACGTCTGCTGGGAGGACGATGTTTGAGGAGAAGCTGACAGCTGAGGCAGTAATAGCATGGGACTGCTGGTGCTTGACGAGGCTAGAGGGCTTGGTCGTGGAGTGTCTGGGGGACTTTGAGATGGCGTCGTGGGATTAAGTGTAGTTGGCAAGGGGGTCGTCGGGTTGAGTGGCGGAGGTGATTGCTGCGGCGTCACCTGCAGAACTGACACAGGAGAGGGGAATGCTGTTGAATTTCGACTTTGATTCGATGGAGATGGGGTTGGGATTGGTGGTAGCGTACTGAATTGAGTCCCTTGGGGTGTAGACTGGGGAGTAGATGTTCGAGCAGGTGCCAATTGTGGTGTAAGTTCAGGTGTTGGTTTGGGTGGGGCGCACCACTGCGCACCTTCATGACGAATGTCGCACTCTTCATGTGAGGATGCCAAGCATTCGCCTTGAACAATGCACCCGCCAATGCAGGTAGCACACGTCCATGGCTCGATGTGCTGGCCGATACCTGCGTCCATTTGGAGTTGGAGCAGGTGCTGGAACATATCGGCAGCATTGGAGGCAGCGCAGGATAACGCCAATCCTGCCAGGCCAGCGAGTACGCTTCGCATGCTACAATTGAACTGGCATGCCACCAGTAGTCTAAGTCTTTGTCGACAAAAGTGAGGATACTCCTCACTCAGCCTGTCCGGATACAGTGTGGCGTTAATTTAATCAAGTCAAGCCAAAATAACTCGTTGTGAGGATATTACTGAACTCATTCGATTTGATTGGCGCAGTTTTTCAATAAAAATACACCCGCACCCATTTCAAAAGTTCGCCATGATATCATTTGAGCTTCGTCTTGAGATATACTTGGTATTTAGCTGACCGGTCAAGGTTCCCGTCGTAGGACAAGTGTTAGATTACGCGTGAGTTCGAACCTCGCTAAGTCATTTTTTTGCTACCAATATTTCAAAGGTGTGCACTGGAAATCGAAGTACATCGCTGGCTAAACTCGGTATTGGTCGGCTCATCAACGGCGAGCGAGCTAGTAGAGGAAGGTAGAGCTGTATAGACGTAAATTCAGGCAAACTGTGGCATTCCTTATTATGCTGCACTTGGATTTCGTCGAGAGCTTTGCTGCAAAAGAACCTGCTGCACTCACCCGACCACGATACAGGGAACGACGCTGAGTAACGGCGTGATGGGGACTTGTGATTGGACAGAGAGGCGGTTCGAATTGGCCAATTGAGGATCACAAAACCAAAATATAAAAAAAGTATCGAATGAAAAAATGAGCTGTGAATATAAGATTACAAAGGATATAAATATAAAGCGTAATTAGTACTAGGAAGACATCGATGC